AAAGAAAGAAAGATTGAGTCCCTGGGGCTTGGGGTCTGGCAGAGGAAGGGGGAAGCACTTCAGAGTCACCAGGAAGGGGGTGGGGTGGGAGAGATGAAAGCTGGAGGGATGGGGGACCAGTGCCCCCACCCTGCTGCACAGCGGCAGCCCTGCCTGTGGGGGCTGGAGCCACTCCCAAACTCTCTCCAGGCCCCTGTCTGCTGAGCCTGGGCAGCCTCTTTTCTGTCCCTGCTCTCCCCTGAAAGCCCCCACTCTAATCAGAAGAAGCACTGGCAGACCTCAGGCACAAGAGCGCCTCAACTCCAACCTGTGAACTCCCAAATCTGTGCAGCACCAGCTGGATGGAGACATAGAGACCCTGTCCACAAGCCCCTGCTTTCACAGATGGGGAGGCTGAGGCACAGAGAAAGGCCAGGGCCACCAAAGTACTTTATGGAGTCTTTTTTGCTCCTCCGTAAAGTAATGCCTGTACCTCTCTAATTCTCCCAGGCTCGGGGACAGACCCACATTTTGATCTGCCGCAGGAGGCCCACATGAGGAAGTACAAACCTATGTCAACTGTGGGCCCCAAGCCCGAACGTCCTACAAGGGGTCTGGCCGATAGGGCAGCACGACTCAGGAAAGACCCTCACCACGTCCTTGTGTGTTTATAAAAAAGAACCAGATAGGAATCTCTAAAACCAGTCCCCGAGAAACAGCTAAAGGACTAGATTAGAACCCTTTGTAATTATCACCCAGAATACCTCGAAGCAGGCGAGAACCTTTGACATCAGCACCAGCAGAAGCCTTCGGGCCTGAGTAGACAGGAGCCCTGGGTCATTAACACTCTTAAAACTCCCTGGGCACTCCCAGGACCAGGGAAGCACCCTCAGACCTGGGCACCTACCCAATGAGCAGCTTTATGAGGGGGTTGGGGAATTAGGCGATAGTGATTCTCTTCTGAGCCAATTCAAGTCCACCAGGTAATACTGAGGCTCAGAGTGCAGGGCCATGCCAGAAGGAGTGGGACTGGGGGCATAGCCTGGAGCTCTGCTCTTCTCCGGTGATCCCACTGAGAAGCAGGCACTTCTCCCTGGAGCAGGAGG